ATCCTTAGAATTTTTCCTCTCACTTAAAACATTCTTCTGACCTGGGTGTGCTCACTACTGCCCAACATGTAAACTACCAGTGAATGAATACCTTTTTTTTCACTTTTTTAAATTTATTTTTCTATTATCAGCTTGATGCAGTATAAATTCTTATCCTAATTGTGAAATGTTTCATTGAGGCTTGCCCAGTAATTGAGTAAAACCAAAACTTATTATAAGCCACTGTCATCCTAGGGTTCCCCCTGCTATGTAGCCTCCCTGGTTCTGTGGGTTGCAGTCTGATTGCTCTTTGCTTTATATCTAGAATCCACTTATGAGTGAGTACATACCATGTTTGTCCTTCTGGGTTTGGGTTACCTCACTCAGGATGATTTTTTCTAGTTCCACCCATTTTCCTGCAAATTTCATGCTGTCATTGTTTTTCTCTGCTGAGTAGTACTCCATTGTGTAGATGTACCACATTTTCTTAATCCATTCTTCAGTTGAGGGGCATCTAGGTTGTTTCCACGTTCTGGCTATTACAGATAGTGCTGCTATAAACATAGTTGAGCATGTATCTTTGTGATATGATTGAGCATTCCTTGGGTATATGCCCAAGAGTGGTATGACTGGGTCTTGAGGTAGATCGATTCCCAATTTTCTGAGAAACTGCCATACTGATTTCCACAGTGGTTGTACAAGTTTGCATTTCCACCAACAGTGGAGGAACATTCCCTTTGCTCCACATCCTCTCCAACATTGACTGTTATTAGTGTTTTTGATCATAGCCAGTGAATGATTATCTTGCTTGAAGCAGTGTTGCAGGACTGTAATTAGTACATGGATAGGGGCATTCTAGGCTAGCCTGTGCTACATAATGAGACTGTCCAAAGAAAGACTGTATTTTCTACTGAGACTCCTTCCATATAGTAGGGACACCTAGGCTAGCTACCTGATGATATGCTATCAACTATCAGTAGCTCACAGGCAAGGACTCCCACTCTCTACTCAGAGCTGCATTTTCTTCTTTTGTTTCACATCTAAATGACCAGTCCCACCGATCACTGGTTGCTGAGACACAGAACCTGGCAATCATCCCCACTCCTCCCTTCTCCCCCTCATTCTTGTTTATCTGGTAGGTTTATTCTCCATATCCAGTCCTTCTCTGTATTCCCAAGGTGACCTTTCTAGTCCATCCATCTGCCATGACCTCCTAACTGGACTTTGCTTCTGATCAGACTGTACTGAAATCCATTCTTTGCATGACAGGCTGGGTGATGTTTCTAATGGGCAGGATGCCTCAAGTCTCAGTACTGCTTACAGATCTTCAAGACAAAAGTGAAACACTCACCATGGAATGCAGGGCCTCTAGGAGCTGGTTTAACGTTCTGTTCTCTGCTCTAACCTGTCCTGGGGACTCTGTACTCTAGTTTCCGATTCCTGACAGACTCTTCCCTTTGCTCAAATGCCTCTCTGGCAGACTGGCAAACCCAACTTCATTTTCCAAGTCTCAGCACAGGCTCCTCCCCTCTTTTCATCTTTTGCCAAGTGCAGGCCTCCCTGAGTGCTGCCACATCTGGACCCAAGCCCCTTCTTCCTGCTCTCTCTCAAGAGTCATTCACTGGCTCATGGAGTCACCCATGTTTATGGAACTGGTGCTGGAGATGGGTGGTCAGCTCAAAACACATGGTTCTTAGCTTAACAGAAAATTGTCTGCAACTGTTGACCTGTCTTATTCAATGAGCCTTGACTGAATGACTAATCACCTTGTTCTTATACGCCTCCAGATCTGCTGTTCTCTCTTCCTGGAGTGGTATCTTGTCTTTAGTCTGGCTTCTTCTCATGAGTCAGATTAACTAGAGTCAAGTCCCTTCTGGCTCCATCCCCCTCTATCTTTTGGGCTGCATTTGCTGTCTCATAATATAGGAGGAGCTCAGTCTTGTCTGATGGTAGAATGGAGGTTTTATATAGAGAAGCAGATGTAGAGAAAGGAAGGACTGGTCCAGAACATGGATATCTTTCATTGCAGCTCCAATAACTACAGCCACAGAAATTGCAGTATGGAATGGAGGGTGGCAACTTGAAGACAGCATTGCAGCTCACAAGCAGCAGCGGAGTGTGGAGAAATGAGCTAATGCCATGAAGAAGAATGCCTGCTCTCTCGAATGAAAAGGGTCTGAGCGCCAGTCTGCTCTTATTCATCTTTACGTCTCTGAACCCCTGGAGGATTATTTAAGAAACTAATCTTCATGTCACAAAGAGATATTTAAACTTTAACCATTCTTTTGGCTCCATGTTAGTCTACTTTCCTCCAAAAAAGAAAATTGAGTGATAGGGGGGCCCTTGTCTTGCCTGCATGAGGTCTACAGTTTAAACCCCAGTAAACACCGAGGAAGGGAGGGAGGGAGGAAGGAAGAAAAGAAGGAAGAAAGAAAATGGCCAAGGTGACTCAGTAGGTTAAGGTGCTTGCTACCAAGTCTGATGACTTGAGTTTAATCCCAGGGACCCACATGCTGGAATGAGAGATCCAACTCCTACAAGCTGTCCCCTGACTTCCACACATGCTCCCTGGCCTGTGCACATAAATAAATATAGTCAAAACATTTTTCCTTCCTCATTTTTTTTTCCCCCAAGACAAAGTTTCTCTGTGTAGCCCTGTCCTGGAACTCACTCTGTAGATCAGGTTGGCCTTAAACTCAGAGATCTACCTGCCCCTGCCTCCCGAGTGCTAGCAATTAAAGGGGTGCACCACCACAACCAGCTTTAAAACCTTTATTTTGTAACATAAATGTAATTTGATGGTGGCGCATGCCTTTAATCCCAGCACTTGGCAGAGGCAGGTGGATCTCTATGAGTTTGAGGCCAGCTTGATCTACAAAGAGAAACCCTGTCTCAAAAACAAACAACCAAACAAAACTAATATATAAATAAAAACAAATATAGCACAATTTTTCTTTGAAAAAAAAAAAGGCTGATAAGATGGTTCAGAGCATGAAAGTTGCTTCTTGCTAACCCTGACTTCTTCAATCTGACACCAGAGATCCACATGAAGGGAAGAGAGAACATCCCCTAAAAGTTGTTCTCTGGCCTCCATGCCAGCATGCCTGTACACATATACACACAAACAAAAATAAATACATGTTTAAAAATTAAAGAGAAATAATATAAACAATGCATTTAAAAATAGTTTGAGATATTGACGTTCAAGATAAAACTGTTTTTGCTTTATCAGCCTCAGCCACGCATCAATTCATATGTCTAGATCATCCGTCCTGTGCCTGACCTCACTTCTAGAATTTATTAACGCTCTTGAAAGGTACCCCTGGCTGATAGTTTACTTTTTCCGTATTTTTGTGTAATTTAAATATTTTAATATATATAGAGAAAGCATCACTATTGCAAGAAGAAAATTACTTTTACATTTTTATTTATTTATTTACTTATTTTTGTTTTTTTGAGATGAGATCTCATGTATACAAGGCTGGCCTCCAAGTCCATGTAGCTAAAGACAGCCTTGAACTCCTGATCTTCTTGCCTCCACAGAGACTTCAGGCATTTGCCCCCACACCTGGGTTTATGTGGTACTTGGGGTCAAACCCAGGACTTGAGCATACTGTGGCTCCATCTCTGTACTGAGAGTGACTTTAAAACAAAATTAAAAGCAGATACATTATAATGTTTGTTCTGGATGGCAGCGCTATTAAAAATACTTTCTTCTGTGAAATTTTACTGGGAAAAAATTTAAACATTCCATAAAAGGAACTTTATAAAAGGAAATTAAAAAAATAGGAGTCTATGATTAGCACAGCAGAATTCAGTCCTGAGAAAGGCAAGTGGGGTGAAGGTCAAAGGTGAATGAGCCTGGATGAAGTCTTCAGTCATTAGGGGGCTACATTATACACGGCTAATGGACTAACCAACTAACCGAAGGACCAGGCAGCATCTTTAGGATTTGGTACTGGGCCTTGGAGAGAGAGAGAGAGCCTGGAGAGCCCGTGGTTACAGCTTCTCAAAGTCGCTGCAGGTGGCTTGAGAAATGCCGGAAGCATTGAAAGCGCCTACTGCACCTGTGTAGACACGAACTTCAGAACCATCTTCCTTCTCTAGCTTAAGAGGTAGTGGATAATCTTAACCTAGGGATTTGCTCAGCCACTCAAGAGTGGAAAGGAGGCCGACTCAGCGCGATTATTTGTGCACATCGCACTGGCGCACATTTTCTTTTCAACAACAGAGAAATCTTCGTGTGGCTAAGGAGCAACGAAAAGAGAAGAGATTGAATGCATCACAGAGGGATGGAGGAGATGAAGACTCTCTCAGAGGTTGAAATAATGTGAGATGTAGTGTCCCGGTTAAGACTGGGGTCCTATTCCTTTCCACAGTTATCTTATCTTCTAGTCATGCATATCGCTTTTCACCGGACTCAGGTTTCCCTCTAGGGTCCGAGTCTATCTCATCTTTCATTCCCCTTCCCGGTTGTAGCGTGGTACCACGCTGAACTAAACGTTGATATCACCTTACACCTGTTCACTCCCGGATTTAATATAGAGAAAACACGGTATTCACGTGCCACCCATAGTAGCCTTCTTTCTTTGGAGAGGCTTTTGGACATCTGAGAGTTAGTTTAATACCCTGTATCGGCAAAGAGTGAGGGATGATGCACGGACCGGTGGTCCTCTCTCAGCTCAGGTTCGCTTAGTGCGTGCGTTCCTCCATCCTTCTCGCAAGAATACCCAGGGGTGCTCTCAGATTGTGGGATAGATTCAGGGGTCTTCTATGGGAACTGCTGACCTCATTTCTAAGCGTCTTGGTCCTTTTCATTCACTGGAGTCCCCTTCTCTATCTGAAAAGTAGGAAGACTGCTAGCCTTCAAGGTGAAGGGGGAGGAGGTGTCTGTTTTAGAGAGAAACAGTGGGAGGGGAGACAGTTGACATCTCCTGGGTGTACCGCTGGCTGCGTGGGACCTGAGTGTGAGTGTGGCCAGAACTCCCAGCCCAGGGCGGACAGAGTGTGTTCTCTACTAGAGCCATCCGGGCACTAGGCAGCCTCAGTGGCATGCCACCTCCGTGCGGTCCTCCTCTCAGGCGTGGTGCCTTCTTTGCCTGGGATAGCAAGTAGAGGGGCGAGCAGGACCCCGCAGGCCGGGGACCTTCAGGCACCAGAAGACCCGGGACACACGCGGCCCGCCCGGTGGCGCGCGCTTCTCCCCCTCCCCCGCGGTCGGGAGCGAGCCGCCGTGACGTCACGGGCCACCCGCCAGCCCCGCGCTCCACCGGGCAGAGCGCGTGCAGCCGCCGAGCACATGGACCCGCTGGTCGAGCAGGCTCCGCAAGGCCGAGATGAAGAGGAACTGCGGACCAGGATGCGAAACAGGACCCCCGAAGCCCCCGGAGTGGATATTCACGCGGAAAGGATGTTGGCAGTCCTGGCGACCTGGGAGTCATGGCTGAATTCACCCTCCCGTAAGTTCCAAGTTTATCCCCAGGAAACTCTGGAGCTCAGGGATGTACAGTCTGGATAGAGGAAAGGGGCTTTTGGATTCACTTTTCCTCATCACTAGACTCGAAGATTGCCAGGGAGTTTGGGTTGGGGTGAGGGGTGTGGGTGCGGGGGAGGTTACACAGAATGGCCCTTGAATAGAGATAGTTCTGGATTTATGCACTTGATCACAAGCCTATTTCCTCATGTCTAAAAAAGAGACGCCCCCTGCAATCAGCGCAGATTTGGGGCCGCTGATGTGGTTTGGAGGCCTCATTTGCGAAACTGGAAGTCTGAGTCGAGTGATGCTCCCTCCATCCTTGGCCAGCCCTCCTCTGAGACACCCCCTCGGGGCAGAAAGAAGGTGCTCTCCTAAAACTCCAAACTGTGTCATGAAACTTTCTCGGCTTTTGTATTGCATTCCTGTGTTTGTTGAAGGCCCCCACACCCTCATCGTGCTAATTCTATATGGATGGGATGTTGATTTAACTAGATTGGCCCTTCCTTGGCTAATATTTTCTGCTGTACCCACGGTGTGGTGTGGGGAGAGCGGCGCAGACTTCCAGGAAGCGCAGCCATGAAGCTACATGTGCCCATGTGTGGACTCATCATGGATTTTCCTACTAGTTTTCAAGCCTGCGTTAGTCTATTCTTTTGAGCTCTTGACTTCAGGATATTCTAGAAGATCATGAAAAGTAGAGACATCACTTAAGAGGGTGTAGGGACAAGAGGGTGAGGTTTCTGTTTTCTTTCTGCTCTTGTGCTTTTGAGGAGCCGTTGTCAATTGGCCTAGAGAAAGCCATGGAGAAGTGTGTCCTGGTGTGTGTGTGTGTGTGTGTGTGTGTGTGTGTGTGTGTGTGTGTGTGTGTGTGTGTGTGTTGGGGAGGGCTAAGGATGCAGTGTTCTGTCTGCTGAACAGCATGAGGTAGGATGTTGCAGGCCCTGTTTTGCATATGGGCAGTGACAAGTTGGGGCTTGTTCAGTTGCCACGGTCCTGTGGTCATAGCTAGTCCCTCTAAAGCTCTAGCCAGTGGGAAAGGGTTTGTGTTCAATCCTTGGAAGTCCAAGTGGGATTTCCTCCAAGATTTGTCAGGAGCAAAACTGTCAGGAAAGCAGACGACACCCATGACTGGGAAAAACCTCGTGGCCTGCTCTCCAGGACTGGAAGTGTGTTGGTTACAACCTGCAGGTGAGGATGTGCTTTATGGTTTGGGGGCTCAACCAGGTTCATGATAGATTTGGTAAGACATCAAGACTGGGTTAGAACATTGTGGGCTGTCATGCTGGGGACCGTCTTCCTCCCCCAGCTGTCTGGGAGTGACTGGTAATGGGACTGCCTTGTTGTGCTGCCTAGGTAAGGGTGGCTGCATCTTCCTGCTGTACCTGCCTTGAGTGCAGAATTTTGCATCAACCGGGTTCTCTTGAGAAGTGGAAGAAATCGATTTCTTCCTTTCTTTTTTATTTATTTTCTTCTCTTTTAACAACCACCACGAACTCATCCTGATTTGCTTCTGTGGCAGCAGCTTTCAGAGCTCTAAGAGTCCTTCCTCTCTTGTTTCTGATGTTTCTGGTGATCTGTGTGACTGGTCCTCAGAAAGCCTGTGGAGTTCTGAAGCATCTCCATGGTTTCAATTCTTGTCTCCTTTTAACTCGGAAGACTTGCAGGCAGCCCACCCGCCTGGTTTCTGAGGCCTGTGTTTGCCACGTCTGGGACCTTTTGTCTGCCAGGGCTAGGTGCTACCTCAGCTGCTGACTCTCTTGGACCCACAGTTAACTCCCTTCTCTTCCATTTTGTGTGAGTGGCCCTGAATTTGCTCATATCAAGGACAGGCCAGCCTTTTCCTGGGCACATGGAGGGCTAGGCATATTTGCTGGACTCTATTCCTTAATATGTATATTTGAGAATTCCATGAGTATGGCATTTACATCATTTTTATCCCTCTTTCTTCCCTGCAACTCCTGATGTGACCCCCAGCCCCCTCTCAAATTCATAACTTCTTTTTAAATTATACACACACACACACACACACACACACACACACACACACACACACACGTATTTATAAACATAGCCAGTGGAGTTCATTTAATGTTGCTTGTGTGTAGATGTGTTTAGAGCCGACTTCTGGGGATTGGGTAACTTAATAGAGACTCATCCATGGAAAAAACTGATTCTTCCTCAGCAGCCATTAGCTCCCCATCTAGGGGTAAGGCTTTATGAAGTTTGCTCCATTCACATGGGCATTTAAACTGGTGGTGTGGTGGTCCCTGTTCTTTAGAGTGGTAACTAAATGCCAGTAAATGACTATACTTCAATATGTTTTAGATACCACATGGCCTTTCCATGCACTGGCTTGTTATTGTGTCTTTCCTTCTCTAGCTGGGTGGAAATATAACATTCTCCACCCTGCTGAGCCCCCCATCCCCAACCCATTTTCCTTCCTAATGTCAGTTTGTGATGAGACTGGGATTTATCTTCCATGGCGTATCTAATATCTGTGTTAGCGTATTGACTCAAAAAGGGGAGTGGAACAACAATAAGAGTAGAGCCAGGCAGTGGAGATGGCTCCGGGGTACAAGTGCTTTCCTGGCAAGTCTGGTCACTGACTGAAGCTCATGGTGGAAGAAGAGAACCGACTCCCGAACGTTGTCTCTTGGTTGTCTTTTGACCTCTCCAGGCATGCTTAGGCATATCCTCTATCTCATGCGGCCTTTCTACATACACACACAAATCAATTAAAAAAAAAAAGACTAGCCTTTGAAGCCAGGTGTGGTGGCTCATGCCTATAATCCTAGCATATGAGAAGTTGAAGCAGGAGGATTATCATGAGTTCAGAGCCAGCGTTGGATGTGGGCCTGCTTGAACTCCAGTGTGAAGCTTGTCTGGAAAACTAAATATCAGGAAATTCAAACAAAACAAAATCAGCTCACGGTCAGTGAAATCCTGCTGACAATCATGTCTGCATCTTTCTAGAAAGTACCAGAAATCCTATGTCGCATAGAAGGCTGCAAGGTGAATCCTTTGTTTACCCATCAGCATACTAGCTGTGCCTGACCATGTGTAACCTTGGAGATCAGCCCAGATGTGAGATTTGGGGCTGTATGGCTGTAGATCATGTGAGCTCTTTGGTAGGGGCCTGGATGGTCTGTTTTGCTCTTCTGAAACCATGAAATCCAAGGAACAATGCATAGTCACAGGAACTGATAGGAACAAGGACAGTAGTATGACAGTGACTTTCAATTTCTCTAGTATGCTAAGCTTATTCTTTTTATTTGTGTTGTCCACAACTTTGCAAAGTACTTAAGAGAGAATGTCCAGCCGTCATGGAATTCTTTTTATGGGTAGGGTTGTGTGTATTTGTTTTAGCCTAGGCTGCCCTTGAAATAACATTCTATCTGCCTCAACCTCCCATGTATTGGAATCATAGGTGTATCTCACCACGTTCAGGCTAGTTTTAAAGGCTTTCGATATATTCTTTCATTTTAGCCTCCCAGCAATCCCCCGGAAGATAGGATTATTACTATCATCAGTTTTTAGAATAGGAACACAGCTCGGGGTTAAAGGCATCACCCCAGGCCAGATAGCTAGGCAGCAGCAAAGCAGATGGGATTTAGATCAGTGCTGCTTGGGCCACGTTCAGAAGTCAGGAGATAGTCAAGTGAAGAACAAACTAAAAGATAGCCCCTGGCCTTGAGCGGGATGCCGGAGTATGCCCAGCCTGCACACCCGGCTCAGGGACCTGTAGAAGTGGCTGCCTTTGTTTGGCTGCCGGTCTTTGCTGCCACACACAGCAGGCTGAGATCAGACAAAGGTTCAATGCTGGAAGAGTTCTGGGCTGTGGTCTTGGAAGGGGTCTGCTCGGGCTTGGGCAGGAGCCTTGCGTGGGGAGAGGTGGGAAGGTTTGGGTGGTGCCTATGATCATTAGCAAATAGCTCCATCCAGGCATCCTGCTTGGCCTTGTGACCAAAATCATTCTAGCATTGTGTCCTGCATTGAATTACTGTTGACTTTCCAGCAGATGGAAGCTGGAGCTCCCTTGATATCACTAAAGCTTCTTCTCTCTCCCTCCCTTCTCTCTGAGCACCAGCCTGTCTGTTAGGGGTATTCCGGACAGGACCTTCATCAGTACAGCGATGGTGACGGTCTTCCCTGCACCCTCTCATCAAGAGAAAAAAACACTAGCTTGTTGGTGTAGTCTTGGAGCCATGAGTTCCCCTCTTCTAGCCTGTGCTCTCCCTCCCTCCTCCCCTCTCTCCCTCCCTTTTTCTCTTCTTTCTTTTCTTCCCTGCTGTTCCCGGGGTCCAGCCCAGGGAATCAGGCATGCTAGCTAAGTGCTCTACCCTACCTGAGCTATACTCTTAGCCCATGGCCTTATTAAGTCTTTTCCTTGTCTTGTTTGTTTTGTTTTGTTAGACCGTGTCTCTATGTAGCCCTGGCTGTCCTGGGTATCTATGTAGACCTGACTGGCTTCAAACTAACAAAAATCTACCTGCTTCTTCCTCCCAAGTGCTGGATTAAAGGCGGTGTGCCGCCACACCCAGCTTCTTTTCTGCTTTTTGAGATAGGGTCTCCTGTATTCCAGGTTGGTTTTAAATTCCCAGTCCTTCCTCTTCCTCCAGAGTGCTGGAATAACCAATGTTTGTCAGTACGTTCAACTCTTTTTTCATCTCAGAATTCTGTTGCTTTGGTTTGTTGTTTATATATAGGCTCTTCCTTTTTTTAATGATATATTATTTTTACGTACATATTTTGCTCTTGTGTATGTATGGGCAACACTTGTACCAGGTGCCTGCAGAGTTACAGACAGTTGTCAGTTGCTATGTGGTTGCTGGGAATCGAACCCAGATCCTCCGGAAGAGCAGACAGTGCTCTTAACCACCAAGTTGTCTCTCTAATGACATAGTTTTTTTTTTTTAATTTGAAGCCAGAGCTGTGCATATGCCAAGCAAGTGAGCTGTGGCACCAGCAATCGATGGCCTCCTG